TGCGCTGCATGTCTTGTAATGCATCAACACAACTGCAAAGTTTAGCACTGATCATCTTCCGTGCTATTACATCTGTGACGGGATACCGGGAGAGGATATGTCACATGAATGCAGTGGGCGAAACTCTTTTGGTCACTTGGATTGCTCAAGTGAGGCATTTGGAGGTGTGATGTTTGGGACCCATACGATGAACTGACTACTACTTATAAACTCACGTATCGCCTAGATTGCACAAGAGCGTGCGAGTTTCTCGTGGCACTTTATTACATTCTACTGACGGGTCGCAGCGTTCTGTTACATATATTCACGCGGTCTATAACACATCCTGGGAGTAAGGATATCACGCACGGAGAAATGTGCTGAGGCTGCCCAGAATTAAATCGCAGGGCTGGCCTTTCAGACGAACACTGTCTCAGTCTGCTCGTGCTTACTGATGCTGCCAGGGTCTATGTCCCCTGGGTACGTGCCGGAAACGTACCCCTGGGTACGGTCGGTATTCGGAAGTACCTGGTACTATCTAATTATGCAGGAACCGGCTTACCTCGCCTACTCCACTACGAGTCTAGGGGACGTGCTTTGAGCTGTCTACTCCTACGCCTAACCTGACTACGTATATCAAGAAGTTTCATGGTGTGTGTATTCTGTTTTCATAATTCGATTCAAATTTCTTCGATTGCGTGAATCGAATGATTCGATGCATCATTCGATTCACGCATCGAATCTTCGATTCACGATCTCGAATCCATTGATTCACGCATCGATCTTCGATTCACGCATCGATCATTCGATTTTCACGATCGAATCATTCGATGCATCATTCGATGGTGAATCGAATGGATTCGATTGCGTTGATCGTAATGACTCGATGGCTGTGAATTTCGAATGATTCGATGCTCGGGTGACTATCGAATGATTTGATGCCCCGTGAATCGAATGATGATCGAATCATTCGATTTCGGCCGGGGGGCAAATGAATCATTTCGACTTCACGCATCGAATCATTCGATTCAGATCGAATCATTCGCGAGTGCATCGATTTCGATGTGTGAATCGAACTGATTCGATGCTGCGAAGCGAATGACTTCGATGCATTGCATTCGATTAAGCATCGATCATTCGATTTCACGATCGAATCATTCGATTGATATTCGATGCGTGAATCGAATGATGCATCGAATCTTTGATTCACGCATGAATCAGTCGATTCACGCATCGAATGATGCATTCGAATATTTCGATTCACGAATCGAATTGATGATCGATCATTCGTATCGCGCATCGATCATTTCGATTACGCAGTCGAATGATGCATCGATCATTCGATGCGTGAACTCGAATGATTCGATTGAGTGACAATCAATATAGATGCGTAACCATCGAGATGTTTATGTGATAAAATCGAAGTGTGTATCATGTGATAAATTCAATGTTTATATCGATAAAATCAACATAACGAATCGTTGAAAATTATGACATCAAACAACATGCAATAGATAGCTACCGGATACGTTCGGTAGTACCCAGGGAGACATAGACCCCTATCAGCCTTACTGATAGATACGGACGAGTAGTCAGTCAGTCAGTCAACTCACGCGCACATACGCTACTGCCACTATTATCCCGTACGCGCCGACAACTCTACTGAGGTCTGCAGTATATGGACGGACAAAAGATCACCGTACTGCACTGTACGTATAAGCACGTACATAATATATACACACACGCGCACGCACAAGCACACGCACGCTTGTTGTTGAAACGATAGAACGTAAATGAATAGGAAGGAGTTTCTTCGCGGCGTATGAATGAATGCATTTGAATCTCTGTCATCACGTACTGTCATCGAATCAAACGTAAACTTACGTTATTATTTATTTACGGTGTGTGTGTGTGTGTGTGTGTGTGATGTGAGACACGCGCTCGGAGCGAGATCTCGCGAGAATGAAGGAATCTATTATGCACGTATAAACGGTAGCGGCCATGTTTTAGAGTATATAGTAGCCTGTTGTACACAGTGACCCTTTGTAATCGTATTCTATTGGAAAGTTGCCGTCGGTAGCGGCGACCTATGTAAACGTGTACTTAACTAAACACGACCTATCTATCTATGTGTAAACCGCATGTCAACCATAACTCATTATTCTCCGGCGGGTACAGGAGCGTGTACAGGATTTATACCAGGGAAGGGTGTAATCGTAACCCAAACTTGCGAGCACGACAAGGGGGGTCTGGGATTTTTTTGAAATTAGACCCCCTTAGATGCGTTTTCTGCGCGAGCAGGGGGGTCGGACCCCCTGGACCCCCCCCCTGTACACGCCCCTGGGGAATCTCCGCACACACGCTCACTCACCCATCGTCCACATGGAATTATGATAGGACGGTTATAAGCTAGCAGGCGGTTTATATGTGTAGAAACACAAGTTAGTATATATAGCGGTGCACGACGATATGTTATTTTAAGCGGTGAATGATTTGTGCGGTTGTTTCAAAAATATTGCGCGTGGACGAAGGTAGGGTTATGAAAAGAAACCTAAACAATGGAAATATGTTATTAAATGATACTGTATTCTCTCTCTTGCAACGCACTTATGGATTGTATGTGTCGTGTCGAAACGTGTTTTCGGTGTTTTCCGATGCAGTCTCGGAATGAAGCGTTGAATCGGAAAGTGAATGCGTGAAGGAAGATATATTATAGGGGGTGTTTAAATAGCACTGCCGCCATTTCCCCTCGCAACGGTCGCCAAAACACAACGTTTGCATCGTCAACGCTTGCGTTTCGGTCACGCATTCGCGTCGGGCAAAGGCGTGATGCGGGTAAGGTTATATTACGCATTACCTAATCACCACCTACGACCTCCTCCTCCTCCTCCTCCTCCTCCTACCCCTCTCGCTATACGAAGGACACCGCCACGCCCCCGAGGCACACCCGCCCACGCAGTTACCGCGAGCACATGCCTTACACGGAATAGTTCCAGTTCAGTTACAGTTAATACCAGTTACAGTTCCAGAACATTCCATTACAGAATCCATGTTAACTTTATCATCACGGGATCCTCACGCACGTGTTAACCCTCTCTGTGAGGGCGGGGCGACTCGCTTGTTCTGTCCGTCACACTGGACGGTGGCTGGAAGAGAGGGAGAGAGGGAGAGGGGGAGAGAGAGAGAGAGAGAGAAAGAGAAAGAGAGAGAGAGAGAGAAA